ACAAAAAGCATGTAAATCATTTGGAGCCTTGGCACAAGAAAACATTCAGGAAGTTGAAACTCTCATTAAAATAAATGAGAACAGAGTATTCCTACAGGGCCAATTCTTCTAAAAAATAAAGTATAGCAACAATGCCTTTAAAAAATGCTTGTCAGCAAACCTCGGAGAGAGTGAAAAAGTAAATGGAAAAGTTCTACTTTTTAAGGTGGCTTCATCAGATCTATTCTGACTGACTGATCACCAAAGTCTGAACAAAGAGTATCTGCTGACAACTGAATGGGGTGCCTGTGTACATGCAAATAAATTCCCTGAGAGGATGGTTTCCTTGGTAACATTGACATGCCATACCTGCACCAGTTGTAGAAGGTAATGCAAAACATCATCGTCCTCGAGGCTCTCCAGTTTCTGAACTGCAATGGCTCTCACATTTTCATCTGAAAAGTTGCAGTCTAGAAGTTGCATGGTTAACCCAACATCCAAAGCGCTTTGGTCCCAGACCTCCCTTCTCGCTAACAGTTGGTATGTTTTGGCCACAATTTCTTGCTGTCCCCATTTCACTGAGCTAAATAACTTTGGGTAGGCTTCTGGATGCTTCAGGCTTTCATATCTAAAATGCCAGAGCAATTCTTTGTCCTCCGCTGTGAGGGGATTAAGTGGATCAGTGGCTATGATGGCCTCCAGTTGTTTGCGAAGCTGATTGGGCATTTCAGCTCGAACCCGGTCCCCTTCCGGATCAGGGGTGGGCCGATGCTTGGGCAAGGCTATTGGGTGACAATAATTGTCCAGAAGAATGGAGATGGACATTGAGTTCTCCTTGTCTGGGTTGGTCGCTGATGTGAGCTTATCAGCATTGAAGCTCCCTTGATCTCCCTTCCCCGATATCTGCCACATGTGGAGCACATACTCCCCGTGGCGCAGGAGGAACCGGTGGTCTATGAGCAGCAGGTTCACATAGTAGAGGAGTTGGGCTTTACCCTTGGACTCAGAACTGTGGGTCTCTGCAGAGACCTTGCCGGAGAGTGCTGGAGTTTTGCCACAGTAGATCTGGAGGTTCAGCAGAGCCCCTTTGGGCAGGTCCTTGATTTTGATACTGAACTCAAGCCACACATTCCAGAGCACCTCCTCTGTGAAGGGTTTGGGGCTGGTTCTCTTTTGGCAAAGGACTTGCTGCCCATGCTGGATGTTCGCTTCCACAAAAACTATGAGGTCGGTGTTCCGGGGCAGGACAGGGATATCAATGCCTCGGATCTTGACCCTGAATTTCCGGTCACAGTCCCACAGGGACACGGTGAACACACTCTCATGGTCCTTACCATGGATGGTCAGCTGCTCGTGGTAGCCAGTGACTCCCGTGCAGTCATCCACCAGTGGCCACTCTTCTTTCCTCACCTCGTCCAGGGCTGGGTCTGGAGGTGTGTCAAGCACCAGGTGAATCTCTTCTCCATTCTTGAGGCAGTGCCTCACCCACTGGAAGTTTTTGATGGGCGTTTCACCCACCAGGTACTCATCCCGGCCACAGACGCGCAGCACAAAGTCCTGCTCGTTTAGGCTTTCAGGGATACCCATTAGTGACTTCTTCTTGGCCATCTTGGTGAAGAAGCTTTGGAGGATGATGCCGGGGGTGTCATCAGCCGAGACCTTGATGGTCTGGCTGGTGGTGCTGCGGTGGATGATGATGAAGATGCAGTTGTTGGCAATCTTCTTCAACAGGTACTCTGGGAGGGGCTTGGATGTCACCCAGGGGTGCATGGCATAGAGCTTGGCATCGCGGCCGGCCACCTCGGCCATGCGAGGTGTGACCAGTCGGCGGCGCGTGAACTCCAGCTCGTCATCGTGCACATTGCTGACGTCAGTGACATCGTAGCCGATGAGGGCGGTGAGCTGTCGCTGGAAGGCCAGCGTCTCCTCGGAGGGCACACGCCGCTGCACCACGTGGATCTGCCCGGGGCTCCTGTGCAGCACCTTCCAGTAGCGCAGGCAGTCCAGGGTCTGCACTACCTGGTACTTATCATAGATCTCGTACCACTGTCCCTTCTTCTGGTAGAGCAGGAGGAAGCTGTCTGGGCCCAGCCGGTGGTAGAAGTCCGCGGCCGCGCTGATCTCCAGGGCGCGCAGCCACACCTGCGCCTTCATCTGCTCCACGTTGCCGTGGCCCGCCACGTGCAGCAGCGCGGTTTCGGGGGTCTTGCTGTGGCGCTGGCTGGTGGGCAGCACGAACTCGATGGGGATGAGCTCCATGGAGGACAAGCTGGCTGCCGCGCTGCGGGGCTTCATCCTGCGGCGCCTGCGGAGGTTGTCTTCTCTCAGAACCACGGGCTGGTCATAGTTCTCCAGCTCCATGCCCTGAGCGACCTGGGAGCGGAGAAACAGAGGGCTCGGTCTCAAAAAAAAGCCCTTTGCTTGTCTGTTTTCTTGCAGGATGGCAGAGAAAAGGTGTGGTAGACTGACTTGCGCAAAAGGACCCAGAAAGGACCAAGTACTTCAAGTTGGAGGCAGTGCACCGCTTTGGCCACGAACCTCGGCCTGCCATTTACTGTCTAGCTAAGCAACCTGAGCTACTTGTATCTCTGAGCCTATTTCTTATCTGTCAGTTTGGTTACAATACCTCAGAGGGTGGAGGTGAAAATTAAATAAGATAGTATTCTTAGCTGTATGGGTGATATGCCCAGTCTCTCCACTTTTGTGTTTATTAAAAAAATAAATATATAAAGCACTCATTTGGTGCTGTGCCTGACATATAATATCTGGAAAAAGGGTAACTGTTTAAAGCATACTGAAACACACCAGTAAGAAAAAGGACAGTTAAGGACCAAGTTCTAGTTTGTAAGGTGCAATATAAGATGCTGAAACATCACTTTGAAAACAGGCCTTTAACGTATTTCCTTTGTTGGGATTCAGACTTCTCTAACTCAGACACCTTGCCCAATCTCTTTTCATGTTCTCTATTTTCAAACACTGGACCTGTTCTACTCTCTAGTCAACTTCCTGTTTTTCTTCTTTTCATTTTTAAAATCCTAATTAAGAAAGCTAGTCATTTCATTCCTAAAAACTAAAAAAAAAAAAAAAAAAAAAAACCAAAAAACAAAAAACCAAACCCACAAATGTTGGAGATACATAAAATTCTGAATCATGAAATGTGTAAATATTCTAGTTGTCATTATTAGGGCAGTATCGCTCAGGGCTGTACTCTCCTAATATGAATATTAACTTTGTACCAATTTGTTTCATCTGCTTTTGCTTTAGGTAGGATGGAAGACAGGATTTCTGGACTTCAGGGACTTACTAAGGAAACCCCAAATGATTATTTAACTTCTTTTCTGCTTTAGCATTTTTATCTCTATATCAGGAATTCACAAATTTATTCCCATTAAATTATCTACTCTGCAGACATTTAATAAGTATCTCCCCTGCACAGAACATTTCAGTATAAGTATGATGTACTGCAATAAGAAAACAATCAAATGATTAAAATGCTAGAAGTCTTAAAATTGAAAGATGAATGATAGTTTGAATTTAAAAACTAATATCACTATTGAAATACATTATATTCTAAGAAAAAATCAATTATTGAAAGAAAAGTTAATGTTTCAGAAAATATCATTTACTCTCTTAGATAACTAAGTTAATGAGATTCAAAATGACTTATATCCTTCAGAATAGTGGAACATTTGATGCATACCAGAAAGAAAAGTTTGTTCAAAGGTTAGAAAGACAAGTTTCATTAGGTCTAAGCTTATGTTCAATTCTTGGCTTAAGTTATTTTTAAAGTCAGTAGTCATTCTCTTTAAATATAATGAAGTTAAATTTAGTAAGTAAATGAAACCAACTGACCCTTGCAACTTAAAACATTCACTTTGATCTTTTGCTACATAACAGAATAACTAACAAAGAAGAGAACTGTAAGATATATTGATATTGGCACTCACTTGAAACAAAACATGCCCAGATTTAGGCAGCATACAAACAGACAGCAATATTTGCCTTGTTAATATAAAAAAATCTTATACAATATAAGATACAGAAGAAAACCAGCTGCCCAAATACTCACTGATTTCCTTCATGGTTGGAGTTATGATGCTCTCTCCTTTTATGAAAAGATGTTAGAACCACTGTACATACAGTAATTTCTAAGCATGCATTTGTAAGAATATGAAGTCTGGCTGGCATAGGCTTCTTGGCCCTCCCTCTTCCTCCCAAACAAAAACAAAAAAGAACTGATACACCTGCAAGCTGTTGTCAGAACCTTGTGGATATCCACAGTATAGGTTCAACTCGACAATGAAACGCAGACATTGAGTGGTAGGATCATCTTAAGAACCGGCAATGGTTCCCCATAAAAACATTCTACCAAGAAGGAAGTGTCACTATTGCAAGTCAGACCCAACAAAGGGCAGAAAATAGAAGGAAGCTATACCTGGTAAAGTAGCGGAGGTGATGCTGCTCAGGGATCATTTGTTTAATTTTTGAAAACAAAACAAGTTCAAACCTACCCCGTGCACCTCTCAACTCTTCCGCTTTTCTGGAACTCCCTTCATATCCAGATGCAGAGGAAGTGCTGCAGTCACCAGGAAGGAAGTTTTAACCAAGTTGATTATACATGTGATCGCTCATTTTAAAAGTGTCAGAAATGCATTTCCTGCTGAAGCAGAGATGGAGCAAGAGCAAGTGTGAGCAGTGTTTACCTTAGTTTTTTTACTCTTTGAATAGATTTTTCAAAAACTGAGGGACTGAGACAAATTAAAATTAGAGATCCAAACCCAAAATACAGCATGAGACATAAACAGATGAAATATTTTTGAACTAGTTATGTAATACAGGAAAAGAAAGGCCTCACAGCTACAACAGGAGATAGCTTGCTAGGAAGAGATTCAGAGCTAAATTAAAACTGTTACCCTCATGGGAGTTCAAATACACCAGGTTCCTACACTGTTACTGAGGGAGGGGAAGAGGAACTTAGAGATCTAGAGGACTGCGTTATTAAGCTGGACATTTTCAAAAGCAGTGTCTGGGAGCTCACTTCCTTTGTTTGGTGAGAGAGTTCTCTATTTTTTTTTTTTCCGGAACATTTAGATCCCAAAATATCACTAGCTTAAACAGAAAGTCCTGCAGCAAGTGTGTGTGTGTGTGTGTGTGTGTGTGTGTGTGTGTGTGTGGCAGCGGTGGTTGTGTTGAGGGTAGGGGCTTACTGTGAGCAAAGACTGACTACAGACAAAGCAGACCAGTACCCTCTCCTCTCCATCCCTCCTTATACCAGAGTTCATCCTTCACCCTGGGCTCCCTGTGAACTCCAGCTGAGCTCCAAGGACAACCAGAAGGGTGGAATTGGCCTCATGAATCTCTCAGAACTAGATAGCTTCAAGTTCCTCTGAGTTCCTCTGATATTAAGGTAAATGATTCTTTGATCTGCTCTATCTCCTTTCACATGGTCCCCCCTTAGGTCTCAGCCTTTTTAAATACTACTTTAATAGCTGACACCTGCAGTCAAATCATTTTATTCAAAGGTCACTTCCCAAATATTTAGAGGAGGCATGTCAGCTTCCCAAAGCATATTCCTATATAAGAATACTCCCTTTGGAGGCTGGCTGCTTTAGAAGCCTCAAGGCTGGACTTCTTAGTTGGTCTAGCAGGAAGACCACCACACTGTAGCCACCAAGTTACAGTGTCAGTTTCACACAGAGTGTGTGGGAGGGTTCGTGGTGGTAGAGGGCATGGGAGGGAGTTTTCAGGTGGGAGGGCTGACCTTAGAGGGACCATAAGCCTGGCTAGTTCTGTTCCCTAGACCACCCAAACACACACCACAACACACGTTATTCCAGAAATGCTAGACTCAGGCTCGTGGGTCCTCTGGTTTCTGAAGGAATTATTCAACTGTTCAATTATGCAAATGTTGCCTGTTCTATGACTAAACTTGCAAATACTTCAGTCTTTATTGGTGGTTTGATTAAAAGTACCCTTCCTCAAAAGTATCTTCCTCAAATCCTAAAATTTGACTGTATATGGTGAATGTTCCTAGGCAGAAGTAATGGCAACTGCCTCCTCCCTCCGTGTAACTTCTTCCTCTCCACCAAGGCTGATTTTACTAGTGAGAATATTTTATCCCCAGAATCATTAGGTTAGTGGCGTCCTAGATCTCATCATTTTCTCTTTACTAACATGTTTCTTAATTTTCCTCCTGTGAGTCTCCATGCATCTAGTACTGTGATTTTATACATATAATGGACACTCAAACCATCTTGGTTGAAAAAATGCAGAGTCTAGCCTTCTGTATCCAAATATCACAGAAATGACAAATGGAATAGATTAGAAAACAAAAAGGGAGTTGGACAGGTCAATAATCGAGAAAAAGTATAATAATTAGTTGTTGACTCTTTGCAGTGGACTTCAGAGAAGTTACTTATAGTCTAGTTGGAGAGACAAAATATGCAGATAAAAAATATGTGGGATGTGATGGTGCATGCAATCCAAGTGGTCCAGCTGCATCCTGGTATTATAAGAACACTCATGACACCTATGGATGTCATTCTTTATCCCTAACATATGCCACTCCATGTCTCTCAGTTCTTAATCTAACAAAAGGATAATAACCACCCTAGGAAGTTGCTATAAATCTTCACTTTTCAACAGAACAAAGCCTTACCTAACTGTACTATGTAAGATACTGTTTTAGACAATTCCAGGAGTCACACCAACACAATACACAAAGAAAGGCCATGTAATCTGTGTGTTTCTTTTTCAGAGAGGGAAATGTTTCTAGAAGCCTCCTTCATTCCCTTATGTCTCTGGCCAGAATTGTGGCAAGTGTTCATTCATACTTCAGCCAATCAGTGGAATGGGGGATAGAATTATATGAATAGTTTTGGCTAATCAAGGCTTACCCTGTGTTCACAGCTGGCCAGAGAATGGTATATACCAGAGCAAAATGTTAGGGCTTTGACATATAGGCAAGGCAGAGCTGGGAAGGACTGCAGGAGACTGCCGGAACCTTCAACACAGAGAGGCAAGCTATTATCAGAAAGGCAGAGGACAGTGGCTCCAAATTCGGGGAAACACAGCCCTGGGGATCTACAACCAGGTCCAGGTGCCTGTGGAATAGCCCACTTCGTTTTCCATTCTTATTAGCAGAAGTTGGTCATTGAATATATTTTTCTCTATTTCCTTGTTCAGTTAAATTTTGCCTATGCAGCTTAGGAAGCATCAGAAATTTCTAGAAAAGAATTTTTTTGGTAAATTGATTTTAAAAATTCAAATTTCTTAGCATAATACATTAGACCCTTTATGACTGATCCTTAACTCTCTGCCTCATATTCCAAATCACCTTTACAACTGAATGAAACTGGCCTCTGCTCCACGCTTGTTAGGCTCCTGCACATTCTGGGCCTCTGCATGCTGCTTCATCTGTCCCCTCCCTCCTCCTGTTCTCCCTCCTCTTCTTTCTCCATTGTCCCCTCATCCCCTTGGCCATTTAACTAACTCTTGCTTTGTCACTATTCAGGTTGAGTAATGTCCTCTGGGAGGGCTTTCTGGTTTAAGAAAGTACAGGGTTTGAAAAATGTTCCCACTAGTAACCACCATAATAACAATTCACCATTACAAGAACAAACTCTTCTCTAACTCTTTCTAGGTGTCTTGCATGGTTCTAGTCACATTAGCCCATTCATTCATTTAATCCTCACATCATCCCAAGGAGAGGACACTTCTATGATCCTTGTTTACAAATGATGAAAACAGGCACAGAGAAGTTAAGTGGCTGCTCCGGGCCTGGCAGCTGGGCAGTGGCAGCCATCAGAGTGCTTCTCCCAGGGGAGGACAGCTGTTTACTCTGCTGTGTCCTCCACCAGATGCGAGGTCTTTTAGATGAGTAGATGAGTGACTGCTGTGTTCATCACTCTGTTCCCCCTCCCCTCCCTACCCCCCCAGCTTGGAGCATATGAAGAAAAGGTCTCGATAAATATTTGAGGAATGAATTTGTTTGTTTAGAGTGTGTCTTTTTTTTTTTTTTTTTTTTGGAAAATCACTGGATTCCTTTTTGTTTACTGGAATAATGCAAAAAAATATTTCCAGACCAATCAAAACCCAGACAGCTCTTCCCTTCCATCAAAACTAAAAGCCTGCAATCCACCTCCTTTTCAAATATCAGAACATGGAACTGCCAGACTCTAAACTGAGAATGTCAGGCTTTGGAAGAAACAGCTCTCCTTAAAAAGGCCTGAGAAGCAGTGCCCATGATAATGTCACCTGCAGTGTCCTGACCAGGCCCTGACACCAGGCTCTGTCGCAGCCAGCCCCTCTAAGTCTTCCTCTGCGCTAGGACCCTCCGCAAGGCCCTTGAACATGGAAGAAAATGGGCTACAGAGCTGGAACTCAGGGAGGAACTCAGTTCGACTAACACTCTTAAGGATCCACAGTGCTTTAGTGTTTTAGTGTCTGTTACAGCCCTGGTGTTGATCCAATCCATTAGTTTTCGTGTTGTTCCCTTGCTAATATGTACTGAAATATAAGACCAAAGACTGCCTATCACGAGTCTTGTGGCAAGACCTTCTCCCATGAAATGGTTTACCCAGAAACAAGAATCAGCGGATTGGCAAGGACTTTATCTTCTTTAAATACCCACCTGTCTACCTTTTTCACACATACGTGATGTTGACCCAGACAAAGCTTCATTCCTTCATTCGCGGGATTTTTTTCTGTTCAAGGGCCTTGCGGAGGGTCCTAGCGCAGAGGAAGACTTGGGAGAGGGGCTGGGACAGAGCCTGGCGTCAGGGCCTGGTCACAGGTGTGCAGGTGACATTTATAATGGGAAATTCTCAGGCCTTTGTAAGGAGCTTCCAAAGCCTGGGATTCTTAGAGTCTGGCAGGAGTTACATCCCCATGGAAGGAAGCCAGGAGGCTGCCTGCCTCTCAGGTTCAGAGAAAGGGCACGGGGGTGGGGAGTGGGGGTGGGGGGTGGGGGTGGGGGGCGGGCCGGGGTTGGGGCTGCTGGGGGCCGGAGCTGCGTGCTTTCCTGGCGCTTGGAGGGAGAGGGGGCCGCTGTGAGCCCCTAGGCCTGCGGGGCCTGCTGCGTAGACAGCCAGGGGCCAGGGCCAGGGGTCGGGGAGGACCTGGCCTGCTCTTGCCTGCCTCGCTATGTATGCCTGTGAGACTCGCCGGTGCACCCTGGAATTACCTGTGTGCTCTGCCTAATCACACGAACACGGCTGCAGATGGCGAAGGCCCTGCCGGGTGGGTCTCAGCGAGGCGCGAGTTCCCTGGCGCTGTGCCCCCTCTTGACGCAGTCTCTAAAAAATACAGATGTCAGGGCACCCTGCCTTCCTAGTGGGTTTTTCCTCCTTTCCTCCTCGCATACTGACTTGAAGGGGAGGGGCTTCTGGGGCTGGGCATGTGGTTTCCTAATGGGATGCAGGCTTCACGTGCGATCAATTTGCACTTTGACAATGGTCACTTCTGTATGTGTGTTATGTGTTGATAAAGGTTCAAAAATACTTTTGCTTAAAGATATTTTTACTTAAAAATGCCTAAAAATTAAGCTACCCATTTTCTTAAACAATTGAGGTTCCCAGCCCCA